AAAAATTTAAAAACGAAACCACAGTGTCAAGTTCTTGGCGCTGACCACACAACATTTACTGTAGTACTCTTACTGATTTCCCTCTCTGTAAACAACCAAATAATTTAATTTCAATATTAGGTCTTTATGTACACAAATATTACATTGCAACTAATACATATATATAATATAATATATAATATATATTGTAAATAAAAACAGTGCAAGGTTATTAAACATACAAAAATTATATTTAACGATTATAATTGTATTATAAACAAAATAGGACGAGTTTATTTAGGACACTTTTGCTAATAGCGTTAAACAATCTTTATTGCTCATTATATGCTGAATAAAGGTAGAATAATGCTTTTAGTACAAAAGCGTCTAAAGTAAACGCAACCATAGTAAAATATCAATAACTTTTATTATATTTTCGTGATTGATAATAATCATAATCTTCTTCTTCATCATTTCTGAACCGACTGTATGAAACATGTTGCCTCTTCCCTCGACCCAGTCGTTCTTCATCAGTCGTTTCATAAGTAGAGTCTGTTGCACTCTTTCGAGCTGACTCAAGAGATGCTACAGTGAATAAAAATTAACATTTCAGTTTTTGTTCATTTTGTTCATAATCTTTTAATATGTACTAGAAAATATTATTATAATTATTTGATCATGCGCTTTTTACGTCAAAGATATATTTGCATACTATGCTTCATTATTTAACCAAACAGGACAAGAACATAAGAAATAGTTATACTTTATATGTTGTTTTTTATTTTACGATAAATTTAACGATGATATATTAATGCAAGTACTTACAACAATATTTTATGATTTCTACTTCATATTTATTCCATGTGTAAGAATCAGGACTTTGACAGTTGGTTAGGAATGTTGCACTGTTTGCCGTTCGAGGTGGCCACCAACAAAATTGTACATTTCTATCTTTAAAGAGCCATGTTGTTGGAATTTCGGAATACGTAGAATCATATAAGAATTTTACCACCGCATACTTTCTTTTTTCGCAATTCATCGTGTGATACGGAATATGACGTGTCCAATGTATTAAGAACTGATAACAAAAATAAAGAAACGCATGTTAAACGGTGCGCGCATAGTGCGCTTGTATAGTTCTAGTTTTGATAAAATAAATCATAGAGTTTCATCTAGTACACATAGTACACACTCACCTTTTAAATATTATTATCCATGAATTATAAATACGTCAGATAAGCATTTCTTATTTTCAATATTTGTGATGGCAAAAGAAATATATTTACATAAGTTTTATCATATAAAAATAAAAAATATTACATAAAAATTAAAATAAAAAGCATTCAACCAAGTTATAACATCTAATTATTAGTAGCTTGTAATGGTATTATAACATAAGAACCAATTTCGTCAAAACATTTAATTTTGAAACACTTCCTTTTAATTTGCGCTACTGAAATTGTAATTATGTCTGAAGTAGTACTATTTGATATAACAAATATTCCCAATTTGTCTGAAGAGCACGGTATATAAAAAAAAGACTTTAAATTTGAAAAATATTTTGCACGAATATAGCAAATACTATCTTGTTCAAATATATCCCAGACAAATATAACAGATTTGTCATCAAGTTGGGCACAATTATCGGCTTCCTTGGTTGAAATTTTAAAATTTTGAAATTGGACATGAGAAATGATGTTGTTTTTTTTATAGCAAACAATCGGATATTGTTGTACTTTACATGCTTCAATGGGAAGTTGTAATTCTTCAAAAGTACGATTAGAAAATTCTTCTAAGGGTGCTCCCAACCGTTTTATTTATTTTTTATTTTTGCATATAATTTTCAAACTTAAAGCAGCTAAAGTTATCTAAAGAACCGAAACTTAGGGCATCATTGGAAAGATGTAGAAGATTGTAAACATTATGTGACATATACTTGTCGTCATATATATTTCCATAGTTGGAAACAAAGTAAAGTAACAACGAATTTGCATAAGCGTTGAATGACACACATAGTTGTTGATTACTCAATATCCGAATCGCAACACTAAGGCAAAGAAAGTGATTGTAGCAATTTATAGGCAATACTGATTTCATAACTACAATTCCAGTATAAAGCAAGAATTGGCGAAATTCAGTAGCCTTCCATCTATCAATGTCTTTTAAACCTCTAGGTTTTCTCGCAAATTCTGCTGGAATAAAGGATTTCAATTCAATTAAATAACACGAAATTAAATTTACAGCCTCTGAGGATAATCTAATATTTCTATTTCCTCTAACCCATAGTTGCAGCAATCGTTTTACGACACCTAAGCAAACAAGATGCATATAGTCTAATGGTATTTGAGATACCATTCCAATGGCAAGTTTTTCTAATATGGAATCACCTGTATGATGTTCAATATGTATACGATTTTTGAATGTGTCGTTTGTACGTAACATACTGTGAGTTTCTAGAAAAACTACTCTGTTACTTACAAAATCACCTTCTTGAATACATTTGGAACAAGAGAAATATCCTGTATGACCCTTTGTGTAGGTAATAAATGATTTTGCCGGAGCATCACATAATATTGCATTAAGAGTTACTGTATATTTTTTATTAGAAACAATGATGCCTGTCTGAGAAAGAAGAATAAAGTCATTAACAAATTCGCGTAAAAAGTCGTTAGCGTCATTAGGTTTACACAGGCCATGAAAAATACCGATTATAAAAGGTTGTGTATATGTATCTACATCTTCAATAGATGCCATTATGGGCCAAAATTGACTTCCCGAACTTTTACAAAGTGGTACACCATCAACATTAATATTTAATTTTATTTCATTCCCTATAATAAATTCAGAATATATTTTTATGGATCGCTGCAAAGCCGAGAAAATATCAAAATGTATATAACGGCCACCGCCCAGGGATTTAATATTAATAGATGCATTTCGTGGCGTTTGAAGTAACACCCTTACATCTTTTGGCAAATCTACATGGCCATGTTTCCTTAAAATAACCAGTAACTCATTAACAACATTATGTGCAATATTTCGTTCAATAATTAATTTTTGTAAATCTTTCTGTAAAGTCGTCTTATTAGTACAATCAGAGATATTACTTATATCGGAAATATACTCTTGTGCTTCAACATGACCATTGCTTTCTCTATCAGAGAGTGATTCCACACTTGACTCACTTATTTCATGAAGATTTTGAGACAAAATATTAATTTCATTAAATGTATCATTATTTGTAAAAGTATTATTACTGTTTTCTGCTTCTATTATTATTGGGAGGTGCGTGGATCGGGATACCGCTTGCTTAGTCCGTGTATAGTTAGTGAACAGATTATATTTGCACTGCACAAGTAGTATTACACAGACTGCAGAGTCCTGAAAAGGACTGATACAGACACGAAGTGACTGAGTTCTTATCAGGATGGAGACAGATACAAAAGGTAGTAATGCGTGCTTCGTGGACCGATACAAGCTTGTAACTAGAATTACAAAACGGTGGTAGATTGGAAGGTGGCGCGGCTGTAAGCCGCGAGTGCAGCTAGAGCACGCCGGGGGAGTAGGCGGCTTGCCAGAGATGAGCGGGAAAATTGTAATCTCCAACACTCTCCCTCAAGTTTAACGCTTTTTCCAACGAGGGTCGGCGAGTCCCAGTCCACGAGTGCAAAGTTCGTGCTTCCCCGCGCTGAGTCCCTTGGTGAGTACATCCGCCAGCATGCGTTCAGTAGGTGTGTATTCCAGTTTTATTGGCTCCTTGTCGAGTACCTCCCTGATGAAATGGTGGCGTATGTCTATATGCTTAGACCTTCCGTGGTAGACAGGATTGCGTGCAAGCTCTCCTGCCCCTTGGTTGTCATTGAAGAGGGTGACGTTTGCCAGTGCCTCGAACCCTAACTCCTTCAGTAAACGTATAAGATAGACTGCTTCCTTTGCGGCGTCTGTCAGTCCCATGTACTCCGCTTCGGTTGATGATAGCGCGACCGTTTTCTGCTTACGGGATTCCCAGGAGATGGCCGCTCCTGCGAGAATGAACGCGATCCCTGTGTAGGATCGCCTGTCGATCGGGCAGCTGCCCCAGTCTGCGTCCGCGTAACCGATCAGGTTCTTCTCGGTGCGTCGGAAGCGCAGAGCGAGATCGATGGATTGCTTCAAATACCTCAGCACGTGCTTCGCCTCGGTCCAAACTTTCCTGTTGGGCCGATGGTTGAATTGGCTCAGCATGCTTACAGCGTGAGCTATATCGGGCCTGGTCCCGATAGCCAAGTACATCAAGCTCCCGATGAGTTCCCTGTATACCGCGGGTTCGATTTTATCTTGGTCTTCATCCAAGGATGGCTTAAAGCCGCTGGTAAGGGGGGTGTTAACGCCTTTGCAGTCCGACATCCCGAATCTTGCGAGTAGGTTTCGGATGTACCCTGACTGTGAAAGATGGATGCTCTCCCTGGATCTGGTGATCTCTATGCCCAGACAATATTTGGCCTCGCCGAGATCCTTCCCTTCAGTGTTTTCAGGACATCTTCTTTATCGACGGGGTCTCTTGACGCAATTAAAATATCGTCGACGTAGACTAGAAGGAAGATGGTCTTCCCCTCGTTCGTGTAGACGCAAGGATCGGCGTTCGTGGGCGATAGACCGGTGTCCCTGCCTCGTCGAGTTTGGAGTGCCATCGACGTCCAGCTTGTCGTAGCCCGTACAGTGCCTTTTTCAGGCGACAAACTTGGCTTCCTCGGCGGAATTTTGACAGCATAGTCTTGGCCTTCTCTTGCGTATTCCCTACGGATCCGTCCTTTGTCATCCTCGCGAGCATTTCTTCCAGGAGTTCCGGCACCTCCATATAAACCTCGACGTCCATGTCCCCGTGCAGATATGCTGTACCGTTATGTCGTACTGTGAGATCGACATTCCTCGTTGAGCGGATAGAGTCACTAATGCTCTGAACGAGCCGAGTCGGGCCACTGGCGCGAAGGTGTCGTGGAAATCAATTCCGGGCCTCTGGGAAAATCCTTTCGCTACCACGCGGGCCTTTTTCTTCTCCAGCTTGCCTTCGGCGTCGTATTTGTTCCTCAAGACGATTCTGCATCCGATGACTTTTCCGTTCTCCGGTCTTGTGGCGAGGTCCCACGTGTCTTTAGTTACGAGACTTTTCATCTCGTCGTAGATGGCGTCCCTCCATTCCGTGGCATCCGGACCAGTGATTGCCTCCGGAAAGGGGACTTCGCTTGCCAGGAGGGCGTACATGGACTCGTGCCATTCATCGTCCGATGATGAGTCAACTACTATGGTTGCGGGTGTCGGCTCCCTATCGCAGCTTCTCAGGTTGTATTGCTTGGTCGGGGCTGTCGGCTTGCGGGCAGTTGCCCCTTTTGGCCGTCCTGGTCCGCGTCTCGTCGGTTCTGCAGCATCCCGTGTGTCGTCATCGTTTTCGACTTCTTCGATGGTCCGAGGATCTTCCTGCTCCGCTTCCGCTGGGTGAGGGTCGTTTGCCCCGATGTCCGTCTCGTGCGGTTTCTCGATACAGTCGGGTGCGTCCAGGATTCCAAGACGACCATTCCTAGTTAACTCCCAAACCGGAGTTATAATGTCCTCGACCGATCCCCTGGTGTCGAACTCGTCGAAGAATTTGACGTCTCTGGAAACGTGGATCTCTCGATCCTTCGGGCTCCATACTCTGTAGGCTTTAGATGTCTCGGAGTATCCGACGAAGATGCCTTCTGTGCCACGGGGCTCGAATTTCCCTTTGTTTGGACGTTTGTCCAGGACGAACGCTTTGCAGCCGAATGTCCGTAGGTGAGCGATGTTCGGCCGTCGTTAGGTCCATTTCTCGAAAGGTGTTCCGGATTCGAGGCTCCTGGTGACGCAGCGATTCCTAGTGTAATTCGCCGTTGAGATAGCCTCGGCCCAGAACGATGGCGGCAGGCCGGACTGGATGATCATGCATCGTGCGGCTTCAACCAACGTCCTATTTTTTCGCTCGGCTACGCCGTTCTGCTCGGGCGTGTGTGGTACTGTGAGGCGGCGACGGATTCCGTGTTTTTTCAGTAGGGCGTCCAAAGCGTCGTTGCAGTATTCCCTGCCATTGTCGGATTGAACTGCCTTGATTTTCCGGCCCGTCTGCTTCTCGGCAAAGTTCATGAATTCTGTGAATTTCTGGGTGACTTCGCTCTTGTTCCGCATGAAGTATACCTCGCACCAACGTGAGTGTCCATCGATGAACGTGACGAAGTATCGGGCGCCGCCTTCGGATTCAGTGCGCATGGGCCCGCACACGTCGGTGTGTATTACGTCCAGTATGCCCGGGGGCCTTGTGCTTCCCGTCGGGAATGGGGTGCTGGATAGCTTCCCGGCTGCACATATCTTGCATTCGATTGAAACCGGGCTTGCAGTCAATTTTATTCCTGCGGCGGCCTGAGATTTGTACATCAGGTGTACGTCCTTCGCATTGAGGTGTCCCAGTCGCTCGTGCCACATCTTGGATATCGACCGCTCGCGCTCGTTCGCTATGAACGCCTCTTCGGGGCATTCTTGAAGAAGAAAAAGATTGTTTACGCGTTTCGCAATTAATGTTACGTTACCGTGGGAGTCCCTGACAATGGCACGGTCCTTGGTGAACAGAACTTGGTGTCGGTTGTCTACAATTTTAGCCACGGAGAGAAGGTTGGTTCTCAAATCCGGTACGTATAACGTATCCTTGAGTCTTATGTTCTTCTCCTTCTCCTTCACTGAGGCTGTGATTCTGACGTCTCCCATTGATTCGACTCTGGTAGTTTCTCCGTTCGCGAGCTTCAGTCCGCTTGAAATGTCTGTAGCGTTGACGAAGAGATTCTTGTCGCTACATAGGTGCGAAGTGCATCCGCTGTCTAGGCACCATCCGTTTCACTCTTGTTGTCGGTTAGTAGTGCCGTTTCCCTCGCTGGGCTCGTCTTTCGCTCGGAATTTTTCTTGGCATAACAGTCGGCGGCCTTGTGTCCGAGTTTCTTGCAATAGTTGCACCTTATCCGTGGACTTGCGGAGGAGGGTGAGTCCTGTTTCTCCTTTCCAGCTTTGTCTCTCGGAGCACGAGGTTTATGTTTGGCGAATAAGGCACCTGATGTATCCGGCGATTTTCGTTTTCTAGCCTCGCTTTCCTCGATTATCTTAATCTTCAGGGTTTCGGGGTCCGGCAGGTCATCGCGTGATTCCATTGCGCATCTGAAAGTGTCATAACTGTTAGGAAGGCTATACAGTATGATTATGGCAAGCATGTCGCCGTTGACTTCGACGTTCATCGATTGCAGTTTGTCCACGGCGTCGAACAGATCGTTCAGGTGGTCCTTTACGTCGTTGCCTTCCGCCATTTTGCGCAACATGAGATTTTTCAGAAGCGTTGCCTTGCGCGCGGGTCCCTTAGATGCGTAAATCGATTCGAGTTTGTCCCAAACGTCTTTTGATGTCTCGCAGCCTTTGATTTGCTTGAGTTCCGTTGGATTAATAGACAGTATTAGATCCGATTTGGCCTTACGATCTTCGATGGTCCATGTATCGCGAGCCACCTGCGCTGCTGGATCGCTTGAGGAGGCGGACCTTGGTTTTTCTCCCGAGACATAACCCCACGTGTCGTTCTTTATTAATAGCGCTTCTGCCTGTATCTTCCACGTATCGTAGTTATTCTTAGATAGTAGCTCAAGGCGTGTGGAATTAATGGTGTTGTATGCCATCTCGTCTTCTTAATTGCAGTGGAGACTGACTCGTACGATTCTCTGTGTATCAACGCTGAGTCTCGCGGATCCGCGGCTTACCTCTCTCCTTTTTATTTGGTGTTCGAGCGCAGTGGTTGCTCGTTCTGGGCCCATAACCTATTGGGAGGTGCGTGGATCGGGATACCGCTTGCTTAGTCCGTGTATAGTTAGTGAACAGATTATATTTGCACTGCACAAGTAGTATTACACAGACTGCAGAGTCCTGAAAAGGACTGATACAGACACGAAGTGACTGAGTTCTTATCAGGATGGATACAGATACAAAAGGTAGTAATGCGTGCTTCGTGGACCGATACAAGCTTGTAACTAGAATTACAAAACGGTGGTAGATTGGAAGGTGGCGCGGCTGTAAGCCGCGAGTGCAGCTAGAGCACGCCGGGGGAGTAGGCGGCTTGCCAGAGATGAGCGGGAAAGTTGTAATCTCCAACAATTATATTAGATGCTATATTGGTTGAATGCAATAACTTCGAATGTTTATAATAAGTCAATTCGCGACAAATTATTTGATCCTTTCGCCTTTTTGATAAATATTGAAATTCCTTTGGCATCGTGTACTGCGCTTAAAAAGTTTATGAACATATATTATTATATAATATTTTATATTATTATTATTAATGATTAGCACTTCCGTTTCCGGTAGCGAAAGTGAAAGTTGTGTAGGTGAGAGTGCGAAAGGAATAGAGAGTAGCCTTTTATCTTTTGATACACAACTGCAAGAGTCACATAGCAAATGTGTCATTCAATATCGGAAAAATATACGAGGGTGAGTAAAAAATTATCTGCACTTTTCATTCTACAATTTATTTACACAAAAATAAGGGTTCAATATGTACGT